ACCGGAAGTTTGCGGAGCGTTACAGATTTTTTTAAACAAATCAGTCAACCTTGACAGGCAAAATTAACAAAAAATCTTGAGTAAAGGACCGACAAACACTATCAACACCATGATTTGCCTCTCAAACTGCGGGAAATTGCATTTTTGAAGGCTTAAAAATCCTAAATTTCCCGGGGAGCACCCCTCGGACCCCCTTAGATTGCGAGCGCCTTCGGCGCTCCACTCTCAAAATCCATCGGTAAAACTGGGCGCACGGAAAAAAGTCAAGCTGAGTAGAGCCTTGGCCGACGTCGACTCGGACTCCCCTTTATTTGTGTACACATTAGGAGACCAGGGCAGGTGGGAAACACAGGGAACACAATGTACCTTTAATTCGTGCTTCATTACATGTATACGTAATTTTGTCAGTGATCACCTTTTCTCACAAAGCGAGATACCAAATCCAGTGCAGCTCGAAAAAAAGCCTGTCAATTTACCGTTAAGCGTTGCCGACCGTCCTGAATTTACCGTTAAGCGTTATCGGCCCTGCTGAATTTACCGTTAACCGTTGCCAGGACCCCCCCATGCAGACCCTCCTACATGTACCGTTCAGTCTACCAGGACACAGATGGTAACTTGCAAGTCAGCCTTGCCACTGTAGCTTGCCAGTGGACAGGCCCTTCTCTCCCTAGTTGGCATGATAAGACTGTGAGCTTTTTTTCAAGCAGATGTAGGGTCTGGTTCAGTGTTTTACATGTCTTTGCAACATTTGTACATGTCTTTGGTGGACCATTAATAGTACTAGAGTTGCCTCATACACCTATATGTACCTGTGTGCTATTTCAGTCCATAAATGTGTAGGTTGTGGAATTTATATAGTTTTCTTTTTTTGTATTTGTAAGTGAAAATCATTCAAATTGTAGGATGGGATTGAGTGGATTTTCTTGTAAGGCCACACCAATTCGATTTGTTGGTTCTCCGATTTTTTCAGAAAAAAATGAAGTGACAAGGCGGAAAAAAGGTAAAAATAAAAACTGTGGTCTAGGAATCCTATTATAGCCCCAAATGTATGAAGTCAACACAAAGGCGGGGTTGAAATTTAAACAATGAATTTTGAACTTAAAATCAAAAACAACTAGGAAGAAAAGAACTTTTCTCAATCTTTTTTTTTGCAAATCAGAAAAAAATTAAGAGAAAAATCCGAGAACCAACAAATTGGTGTGGCCTAAGTTAACATGCACAAGTCATTTTGGTTCAGTCAAGACTACATTCATTTCATTGTCTCTCCTCCTTGGTCCTTGAGTCAGTAACCCGGCATGATTCGGCCCCCTTCGGTGAGGGGCGTCTATGGTAAAATTTCCATGTTGGCCCTTCCTAGCCTGGATGCCAGACCCAAAGCACCCTGGACACAAAATATCTCAGTGTGCACACTGAGATATACATCAAAAAAGTATGTTTTGTAGTGCAAGCATGGGTTTTGAAAATAAATGCTGGCTCAGAGATCCAGCCAGCCAAGAGAAAATCATATCACAGCCAAGGCTCTTGCAGATATGATAGGTACATGTATGCATACCAGACTAACACTAAATGAACTCCATGATATGACATGAATTGAAAGGTTTGGAAGGAAGGGTCGGTGAAAATGCAACCTCCACACCTGACCAATGTTTTGGCATACACCTATTGCTACCCAAGAAATGATGATAAAAGCATGTCACAGCACCTTCTGAAGTTTCTTTCAAAGGGAATAATACACAGTTTCTGGAAATAGTTCATGATAGCTGTGTACTTAGCACAAAATGTGAGATATGTAAGAGTTACCCTCATAGGCGGGCAAGGTTTCCCACTGAGTGGATTTTTTGGCTAGATTTTTAGAGTAGAAATCCCCTACCAAAGCCACAACTTTTTTAGCCCATGAGTCACTTCCCCAAAGCTTTTCCACGTCTTATAATATGAAATGAAATAGCTATTCATTTTTTTCAGTGTATACATGTAGTTGTTCTTCTTTACCCTAACCCAGAGAACTGACCCAGCAGGCTCTGGTGGCCACAAGGTTAATTCATCTTGCCATGCCTGTCAAGACTGCACAAAAATGAGCAGACATGTGTCTGGGGCGATTCCTCTGGGCAATTAGAAATCAGAGTGGGATTGGTCAGTTATCACATGACATGAGTCTAGTCCCAGAAGGAGGATTACAAGATCGGTGAGGATTGGTCAGGACAGGTCACATGCCTACATCCCCTACACTTTTTGGTTGATATCCCCACAGTTTAGGCTGACAGCCTATTATTATTAAACAGTTTTCCCCTCAGTTGCATAAAATAGCCCCACACTATGTGGATATTACCACAGTAAATTAACAGCTCTTATTGGCTGAGGGGACGTGGCCTTGGGCTAAGGGAAAGTTTGCACTACAGTATTAGCATTTATTGTTCAGCAGAATCACGGTGTTGACTTTTGAGTCACTCTACAAATCACAATCTTCATTGACAACCCCCAGGGTGTTCTTCAAAGTTCTGTCAGCCAGGGGATAACTGAGGGCACATGACAGCCTCTGATACAAATCAATCTGTCATGCCTTGTTACAAGTTAATCCCTAAGTACACTGTAAATACTTGCAGCAGATAAAGCAGCATGAAACAGCTTCTGGTGTTAGCAGTAGCAAGACTTGCAGTCCAACTAGTACAGTGGAGGTACATTTTGTGAGGGAAAGAAAGCTTAAGCACAACTTACATGTATAATAATAAGGGAATTATAGAGAATGATGCAAAGTCTTTAAAAGCCTTAGGTGATACATCATACAAATGTAGTAGAAGAAATAGGGGGGAAATTTATCAGGTCTTTAACTGTGTAAAGCCTACTAAAGGAAGAACAAAATGAACTACTATGTAGTACGACTATAAATTAATTTTTTATATTTCAGTCCATACCATGGTATGGATGAAATATATTGTGTTCTCTGATGTTTCTTCTTCTTCTTCTTCTCCTCCTGCCAAACAGTCAAAGGGATTCAACTCCGCCATCATTCAGCCAGATGACTTGAAATTTGGCATGGAGGTAGAGTGGGCCAATACCCCCAGGCGTTTTTTTCATTTTTTTGATACATGCCTTTGAAAAATTTTTATGAAGGTTTTTTGGGGCATTTTTCGCCAAAAAATGGATTTTTGGATCCTGAGCCCTGGTATTACAACCAAATGATCTGAAATTCGGTATAGGGGTACCTTGAACATGTGTATACAGAATAGCAGTCACATATTTGGCATACACCACTTCCAAATGACTCATTTGGGGGACTTTAATGGCTATTTTCAGCAAAAAAAGGGCCAAAAGTGCTGTACCCGTTCCATGTTCTATCTAAAGAATGGCCGGTTCCATCCATGGAACACGTGTTCCATCCATGGAACATGTGTTCCATTGCGGGTTACCTGAGGTCACATTGCACCTAAGTGGTGCGTAATGACCCACAAATTCAATTTTATGTGCCTAAGACCTTCAAAATGTATCAAATCTCATCATTGTTAGTTTTTGCATACCTGCAATAAGATTAGTAAAGCTTTCGAGATTCAAAGTACTTGTTGTTGCATCTTTGTTCTCATATAGCTACTATTTAATTCATTTATTTGAGAACCTTTGCCAGTTTTGCACTGGGGTAAGTTTGGAATAGTCCACTTTTGCGCGGGAGGGAGATGGACTGAAATATGCTGTATTTGCTCCCAAGCAAATGTCGGCCTTTCTAGTTCATTATCAGTAGCTTTCATGTAAAGTATAGTTTTTGAACACTAACACACACAGCTCTTCGCTGAAGGAATTTATGTGTGTAATGACATACATGATGTAGACAACTATTGTTCCTACTGGGTTTCTAACTGCACAAGACTGGGTTCAAGACTGCCATACAAGTTGGAAATTGGAATAAAGTCAAAGTTATGATTGAAGACTTTGCTTTCAACTGTGTTATGATTTATGGCAATTACAGCTTTACAAAAGGAACTGTGGTACTGTCATAGTCTTCATGACGGATGGAACTCACATGTAAGAGACAACCATAAAAATCTCTTGCCTGTTTGTGGGTTGTACAACTCCTGCAGGTCACTTTATGCTTGTGTCAATGAGAAAAGTTTTCAGGACCGAGAAAATGCAGTCGCTATAATATATATGGTTAGGTGGTCGGCTTGAAGAGGTGAAAAATTATTCACATTACATAATGGAAAATTCTCATGTTTAATTGACACATAATTGTAATGTTTATGGATAATTATTATATAATCATTTAGAATTGGACTAGTCCCTATGGACTAGTTAAACAAAATCTGCATACACATGTATTTGTCACTCTCTGTCATGTCCTCAATAAAACTTATTCGGGTCATTTTGGACTTATTTGCTGAGTCCAGAGTTAAATTGTTTTCCGAAATCAAATTGCTGCTTGAATGTTATAATTATGGCTACTCCCACTTTCTGGATGATAATGTCTATGATCTTGTGACAGCCATTGGTCTACACTCAAATGGGGGTAAATACAGGCTTGGTTAATATGTGTATCAAGTTTGTTTGTTGTTTTCATTAAATGAAATAATAAAATAATGATGTCACACACAATCATTACTAATCATCATTAAAAATGAGTCACAGGCACCATCATTACTCTGACATCCACTAGTATGGTACATTTTTACTTCTAGATGCATTTATACAATTTCACTGATATGCATTCAATGAATGCAGAATACATTCATTGAATGTGGAATATATTCTGCATTTATTGAATGCACATTCAGTAAATGCAGAATACATTCATTGAATGTGAAATACATTCATTGAATGTGAGATACATTCATTGAATGTGAGATGCATTCATTGAATGTGAAGTGCATTTATTGAATGGTAGAATTTCTGTTTTTAGTTGAGAACATGTTTTTGTTAAGATTTATTTAGGTTTAGAGTGAAATTAAAGCATTTTGATATTATTCTCCTCAAAATCAGCGAAACCTTCAGTGACCTTCAGAATTGCAGACACTGACCTTTCTCCTGTTGTTTCCCAGGTGTCTCGGGTGTCATGGCAACCGTGTCCATAGCAACCGTATCCATAGCAACTGTGTCCATAGCAACCATCTCCTCGGAGCTCCACTTGGTCAGCAGCGTCTCGTCCAGAGCATCTGCAGAAGGAAGGGAAAATTTGGGTCAGGAACATGAAAACAGTCTGAGAGGAAAGTTTGTATCTAAGACTTGGTACATACAGTTTTCAGGGAGTGAACAGTCAGGTCCAAGTTTTCTTCCATGCCTGTTTTCGTCTTGCTAAATTTCTACCATAATTTGTCCAAGAACCTGATGAGAAACAAGGAAATGAAGTGGCATGGCCTTTAGCAGTGCCTGAAGTTTATGGACAGAAAGAGAACTCATTGGCCACTGGAAGTACAGTCCGCCCATGTTAATTTGTGTTCCATTATTTGTCCACTACAGGGTGGGCTTAACATTGCCCCTAAAGTTACAGGGATGGGTTGACAGATACAGAAAACCCACAAAGAAAATGAAACTAATGAAAGACACTGAACTATTACAACCTTTAGGACACTCAAACATGGACCTTCAGGATTCTATTCTATAGTTCTTGACAAAACTTCACACTCAGACGGTAAGAAACTTAAGAAGTATTTCAAGACAGAGACAAACTTAAGAAGTATTTCAAGACAAGACAAAGACACGAGACACACACACCTGGCGATCCCAAGACTTCAAGTCCTACCAGGACGACGGCAGGACAAAACGGACAAAATCAATGAAAAATTGGAGCAACAGAAATTTTAAACTACACAGAAAAACAATTTTGTCAATATTAAGATTGACATCAACACACAAAACAATGTTACTGCAGTAGAACAGACATGAGGAGGGACAGGCAACACAGAACTGTGCTGGACAGACATTATTACTCATGCTGGGGAAACAAAGTACTGAGGCCAAACCATCTCAGTTTTCTGGTTCTCGGTTCAAATACTGCTGAACTAGAATATCCGCCAGTATTTAGGCAGGCAGGTAGGCAGAATATCCACAGGAAAACTGAGTCTGAAGGAAAAGTCTGTACTTTGGCTCACACAGTTTCACAGAGTTTTCCTCCCTGCACTCTGGTTCCATTCAGATCTCTTGCTAAATTTTACTTAGAAATGTCCGAGAACCAAGAAAGTGACTTGGTGAGGCCACGTCCATCAGGACAGGAGGCCTGTTGGACACGTCAGACTCACCCTGAGCATCGAAGAACTCCTCATCCGAGCTGGAGCAGCTCTCCGAGTCACGCACGATGCTCTGGAATCTCCACTCGTAGAAGTTCCTCGTCTCGCAACCTACAGAGACGACAAGGTGGCAAAAAATAAAGAACCCTCTTACAGATCGCATACAGCAACACTGCATTGTGTAAATTAACAATTATAACACATTAAATTAATTAAACACACACACATGGACACACACACATAGACACAGACACACGCACACAGAGACAAGCCCAAACAAATACTTGAGTCCTCTGGTTCTCCACTATTGCTACTGACCGTTGGTGCTCCTGTTGGTATCTGCGGCCTGCTTAGTCTTGTCCTCAGCAGCCTGCGGCCCGGCCGGGGTCTCCTCTGTAGCAGGGAGTGACGCAGCAGGCGCAGCAGGCTTCGGCGGCACGTGTGCCTCCTGCAGGCTGCTGCTGCTGCCCTGACGCTGCATCTTGTGGGCCAGAGCCAGCTGTGTCTCCTTCTCCAGCCTGCGGATGTCGTTTATCTCCAGCCCTTCCCACTCATCCTGCCAGCACCAGGCCTGCCGGTGGGCCTGCAGCATGGTCTTCCTTAGGGCTGAACCAACATACATGTATATACATGTATCACAACCTAACCAACACACACCAACACACACTCACACACTCCCACTCATCCTGCCAGCACCAGGCTTGCCGATGGGCCTGCAGCATGGTCTTCCTCAGGGCTGTGGGGGAACACAATCAACACGTCAGAACTAACTTGGTCTTATTCAGGGCTGCAAAAACAACATGTCACAACTCTCTAACTCTCTCTCCAACACTCACACACACACACACACACTAACACCTACACACACACACACTCCCACTCGTCCTGCCAGCACCAGGCTTGTCGATGGGCCTGTAGCATGGTCTTCCTCAAGGGCTGCAGGGGAACACAAACAACATACATCAACACACACACACACACACACTCTCACTCCCACTCATCCTGCCAGCACCAGGCCTGCCGATGGGCCTGCAGCATGGTCTTCCTCAGGGCTGTGGGGGAACACAATCAACACGTCAGAACTAACTCTCTAACCAACACACACACACTCCCACTCATCCTGCCAGCACCAGGCCTGGCGGTGGGCCTGCAGCATGGTCTTCCTCAGGGCTGAACCAACATACATGTACATGTATCACAACCTAACCAACACACACACACTCATCCTGCCAGCACCAGGCCTGCCGGTGGGCCTGGAGCATGGTCTTATTCAGGGCTGCAGAATCAACATATAAGAACTCTCTAATTCTCTCTCCAACACACACACTCACACTCACACTCACACACACACACACACACGCACACACACACGCACACATACACACACACACACATACACACACACACACACACACACTCACACACACTCACACACACTCACACACACTCACTCACTCCCACTCATCCTGCCAGCACCAGGCTTGCCGATGGGCCTGCAGCATGGTCTTCCTGAGGGCTGCGGATACATCATGAACTCATTAACTCGTTTGTCTAGAGATGACAACAATGAACTACAATCTAACCACTACTGGGTATGTCCATCCATACTACAAAAATGTAGCTTAGCTGTGGCTTCCTGTGGGATTCCATTCATACCACACTCATCATCATTCTCACATCAATGTGGATCTGATGCAGTTGCCATGGCAACTTACCAACATCATGGATGAACTTCTCTATCTTGTTCTGCATCCCCCAGTACCGGAACTCCACTTTGCAGAGCTTGTAGGAGCACATGATGTCCTGATTCGGGGAGTCTGTGAAGCAGTGGAAAACAGGAGCTCATATAATTACTATCACATGGCAGATTTTGATTGTGATCTTTGCACACAATAACAACAAAACAGCACTAATGCTACGTACTACACATCAACCAACCTTCATATCATCAGTGATCCTTTGTTCTCATTGATTTTGATGTCAAAATTGATCAATTATAGGCCAAGATAAAAACAAACCTGACTGAGAGTAAAACAGCAATCTGATGAATTGATTTTTTTTTATTCACATTAAATTTTATTTTTCGAGGATTGGGAAAAAAGTTATAAAACTTATAAAAGGAAACAATAAAACAAAGTAATAATAATAATAATATGATTAGATTTACTTCCAGAAACTGTGTGTATGAAGGTACAGACTTTTACCCCAGACTGTGTTTTCATCTCAATTTCAAGTCCAGCATTATTTTTTTTAAAATTCCAGAACAAATGTTCCTGACCTTGGCACTTCTGTTTCCAGTCCGGTCCCAGCGGTCCGCGGCCGGTTTTGGCAGACTTGTACAGAGCCGGGTCCTCCTCTAACTTATAATCATGGGCAGGCAGGTCGTCTTTCACTACATCTATCACATCTGCAAACAAACAAACAAACAAATAATCAACAGTCATACAGATATGTAGGGTAAACAGCGTCATGACAGACAGACAAACATTACTTTTATTATGTTTTAAACATAAGTCCACACATAACAGAAGGAAAAAGAGTAACCACGTACCGACTATCCTGTTCCTTTTCTCAGCTCCGCTCAGGTTGAAGACGTTGTCCTGCTTGCCGCCGTCTGCACAGTACTTGGTCTCTATCTCCAGGAAGAACTTCTCGATGAAGGGGCAGGTGTAGCGGGTCCGGGTGTACGGGTAGGCGTTCCACGCTTCCTCCTCTACCCTCAGGGCAGCCTGAATACAAGATACAGGATGGCTTTATTGGTATTCACAGTATGTAACACGCAATTAAAACCAAATTTACAATAATTACAATATCATTACAGTTACAATGGTACAATGTATTATATTGTTACTTTTAACAATAGGCGCATTTTGTAGTAAAGGTAGATATTATAAGAAAATTTTTATACAATCCAGTTGAAATTACATGTAAAACACAGTTTACTGTTACAAACGATGTATTGGTAATGAACATGCCTTGGGCAGAATGGATCTGAACCAGCTGGGAATGTGGGTCCCGATGTGGTAAACTTTCCGTGTGTACTGCCCGCTGCCCCCGGGGCCATCTCGGTACGGCTCGTTCACTAGGATCTCCACACCATTCCCTTCTCCCTGGCTCTCTTCTCTTGACTTTTTCTGTGGAAACAAGCAGGAACATGTGAGCTTTACGATGTGGTAAACTTTCCGTGTGTACTGCCCACTGCCACCGGGGCCATCTCTGTAAGGCTCATTCACCAGGATCTCCACACCGTTCCCTTCTCCCTGGCTCTCTTCACGGGACTTTTTCTGTGGGAAACAAGCATAAACTTCAGGTTTTATTTCAACAACAGGAAGGAATAATAATCTCGGCTTGTTCACAAGGATCTCCACTCCATTCCCTTCTCCCTGGCTCTCTTCACAGGACTTTTTCTGTGGGAAACAAGCATAAACTTCAGGTTCTACATGTACATGTATGTCAACTCTACACAGTTCCCTTCTCCCTGGCTCTCTTCTCTCGACTTTTTCTGCAGGGAAACAATCACAAAATTACAAAGGCTGAGGGAAACAGGAAGGTTTTAACGAGAAATAATAGTCTTCGCTTGTTTGCTAGGACCTCCACTCCATTCCCTTCTCCCTGGCTCTCTTCTCTGGATTTTTTCTGTGGGAAACAAGCAGGAACTTGTCAAGAGCTTATTTATCTAAGCTTTCTTACATACCTCTGCAAAAGGCTAAGGGAAACAGGACTGTTCCTTTTTTCATCCCTGACCAAATTAAAATGACAGAAAGGACATAACGAGAGAAATACTAATCATGTACAGTTATGTGATATAATTCCTGTATCATATAATGTTAGGTATCTGAATCATGTACATGTATGTAGACAAGTTATATAATTACTATGTGATCCTGTATCATACACATTTTGCACTGTAATTTACCTGTATTATATATTATACTGTAATATGTTATATTGTTTCGTACCTGTATCATACTATACGTGCCTGTATCATACATGTATATCATACTGTAACAGTTATATTATATTATTACGTACCTGTATCGTACTATATGTACCTGTATCATATACAATACTGTTATGATATACTGTTACGTACCTGTATCATGTACAGTTGAGCAATGCGATACTCCTCCACACTGAGAGGCAGCGGAATCCGGTATTCCTTGATCAACATTCCTGAGTTTGTGTTGCAGCGTTCCTGACAGACAACAGAACAAACAACGCCTGGAAAACAAAACAAGCACATAAACAACAGCTGATTACTAGAGTGTCATAATCCCCAGCAGATCTTTTGGTTTCTACAAGACAGTGTCAAAAATTGTCAGGGCAGAATTTAACGTTAATATGCCACCAAAGACTTTTTAAAAAACTGATCATACTTGGTCCTGTATCAAATTTAAGAAAGCCTTATAACGTTATATATAAGATAAAAACGCCCAAACCACATAAAAAATAAGCTGGTGTGTCACACAGAAAGGCATTTTTACATCTAAAACTCTACAGACACAGCCAAATGTCAGAGCCAAGAAAATGAGTTGGCAGTTAGCCTAATGGATGGATGTTTGCCACATACTGGGGGAGAACTTGCCATTTCCTAATCCTATCATATCAATTAACGCTACAGACATCGATTTGCCAAACACTCTCCTATTGTTGGGGTCATTTCCACACAGATGTCAGGAAGGAAAAACAGTATGCAGGGCTCAAAATTCATATTTGGGTGCACCATATAAAATAAAACATCATTAGAGATCTTACTTCTCCTCTTGTGATGAGCTTGAATCCAAAAAGGGAGCTAACTTCAAGTTCTACTAGATTTTATTATTTTTCTGACACTTAGATGCCAAGAATATCCTGTGTAATATTAAACATTTGATATGTAAAAAAATAGCTACAAAAATGTTTGGGTGCACCAGTGCAGCCACAGAGAAAAATTGGGTGCACAGTACCAATTTTGGGTGCAATAAGGTGCACATGCACCCAGTATTTCCAGCCCTGCCTCCCAACATCTGCTTGGAGATTAGGGTTAGCCAACAGGTGTTAGTATTTAGGATGTATAATAAAAAAAAAAACACTGCCAGGCAGATCCAAGACTCGTACCGGTGTGTTCACACCTGAAGACGTTACGATTATCCAGGTTAAGGTTCCTCCGTGCCCCACAGTAGTTCTTAAACCATGCTTAACGTTACAGCATTAAGCACAACAGGTGGTGGAATATTTATGCCTGACACAACCCCAGCATGTTAATGAACGGACCCGTACATTACACCCCCCCCCCCACAGCGCCGCCCCTCCCCCTAACCCTAACATACAGGGGAAACGCCCCCGTCTGTACCAGCTAAAGCTTCCGTCCCTGCCTGTGTTTCCCTCACGCCCCTCCGGTTCCCCTGATCTCACATCTGCCTGCTGTAAAACCTCCGCAGACCGCAGATTGAAACGGAGCTGATTTATAATACGGGGTTATTCCGGGGCCGGGAGATGTGTGATAGCGGGCCGCTGGTCAGACTTACCGCCGGACGGAGCGGGTTGTGAGAGGCGGGAAGTTCCCCCGGCAGGAATCCGGCACAGAAACCGCGGGTGGAGCCGACAGACCGGTCTTGTCGCCTCCAGAATCTTAGCAATGACCCCGCAAATCCATCACAGCCGCCATGTTGACAGGGGAAGGAGCTATCGGCGCGCCATGCGGAGTTCATCGGTACTGCAGCCAGGCGGCTCCAGGCGGCCTTGAAGAGATCCTAATCTCCAAGCAGATGTTTGGAAGTGGAAAATTTAGTTTTCAGCCAGACGCGCGTCTCTGACAGCACCTACCTTAAGAACGTCAGGCGTCAGGCTCTCAGAAAACGTCACCGTTCCCCCTAACATCTGCTTGGAGATTTGGTACTAGTACCCCGGCCAGAAAGCTCGAACACTGACAATAGACTTAGGTGTAAATCATTGACAGTAAGGGTAAGGTTCACTGCAGGTGATATCTAATGCCTGGCTCTGATGGCTTACGTTGTTTCTCACGACATTTGGCGAAATAAAACAACAACAGGAGATTGCGAAGGACAGGTGAGTGAAAATAAGGAAGTTAGCTAAACTTGTAACTTCTGCTGATCTTGTCCAATAAGCTAAGCTTGACTTGCCTCCTATGAAGATGCCCTTCTGTATCACTCTCACAAAGTTGTGACTGTTGGTTTGACTTTGTACAGCACAACAGTATGGCCTGGCCATTTTCTTACTGACTGTGCTCTATGCTGTCCTTAGTAGTAGTTATGAAACAATCTGGACCTTTCATAATCAACATCATATATTACTGATTTGACCATGACACCTGTTTCAGAAGCAGAGATGCTAATTTAATAGACTACACAAGTTTACTCTATTCGTTTATTAAATATCTTGAAGCTTTTAGTTGAGTTGGAAGCAGTCAGTCTTAAGTCAGATAAATCTGTATCTGTATACTAGCTCAGGGTATAACTGCCCTTCGGTGCAACACACCAGCTTCGCAGGCACACAGTACAGCCACTGCTGGCTTACCTACCTAACCCTGGGTTATCTGTTATAGTTGACAGAATGGGGAGACTCTCAGGCTGGATCCTGGCTGCCGTGCTGCTTACGGCGGTGACCGGGGAGAGAGACCCGAGTGTCTGCATGGAGAGGCCGCCCAACGCTGGGCCGCAGGTGAAATATCTCATTCACTCACTCACACAAATAACTCACTCACTCACTCACTCACTCACTCACTCACTCACTCACTCACTCACTCACTCACACACACACTCACTCACTCACTCACTCACTCACTCACTCACACTCACTCACTCACTCATGTGTCTGCATGGAGAGGCCACCCAACGCTGGGCCACAGGTGAAATCTCTTATTCACTCACTCACTCACTCACTCACTCACTCTACACACACACACTCACTCTCACTCTCACTCACTCTACACACACACACTCACTCTCACTCACACTCACTCACTCACTACACACACACACTCACTCTCACTCACACACACACACACACACACTCACTCACACTCACTCACTCACTCACACTCACTCACTAACTCACTCCCTCATACACTCACTCACACACACACACACACACACACACACACACTCACTCACTCAATTTTAAATTATAAATTTGAAGCACACTCAACAGTATGACAATCAGCAGATGGTATAAAACATTGATTTTTAATAGTCTAAGATGCAATTATACTAATGTCTCTCGTACATATTTTTCAATATATTACATAATATTTACATTGACAGCCACAGTGTTTACTAAAGCCCCAGTTTTACCCTGTACAGATCCCTGTGCTGCCAGATGTGTTCCAGGCGTATGTAGAGTGTAACCTGCTGGATAAAGGCTACACAGTGGCAGTCATTAAGTACTAAAGGCTACACAGTGGCAGTCATTAAGTACTAAAGGCTACACAGTGGCGGTTATTGTGTACTAAAGCCCCAGTTTTACCCTGTACAGATCCCCTTGCTGCCAGATGTGTTCCAGGCGTATGTAGAGTGTAACTTGCTGGATAAAGGCTACACAGTGGCAGTCATTAAGTACTAAAGGCTACACAGTGGCGGTTATTGTGTACTAAAGCCCCAGTTTTCCCCTGTACAGATCCCTGTGCTGCCAGATGTGTTCCAGGCGTATGTGGAGTGTAACCTGCTGGATAAAGGCTACTCAGTGGCAGTTATGGAGTACTATGACGGCCCGCGGAACCGAGGGTCGATCCGGTCCGAGGCCCACGGGTCGACTCGCATGGTCGTGTACGACTTTCCTCAGGACGAAGCCTTTGTCATAACTGGTAAGTGTATATAATACATGTACATGTATAGGTAAGCATATGCATTCTACAGATGTCTCAACTTTCCTGTGTCCTTAGTTAACTGTGGCCAGGACTGCCATGCAAAGGCTGATTAGCTACACTTAAGAGTCTGCACACAGCCAGAACACCAGATCTAGTCAGTGCTACCATCATCTCTCCATATGGAAGGACCCTGCCAACTAACTCTGAGTAACTAATAATTCTAAAGATCTGAAGGCTTTTGGTAATAACTGGCAACATACATGTACATGTAGAGTCTTTCATTTGACTTCATTAGTCCTTGGCATGTCTCAGACCACTGCTCTATAGAACTGTAACTGTTTTCCAGGACCCACCTGTCAGACTCAGAAGGCATTGGTTCAGGTTCTACAATTACAGGATTGTGTACAAATGTAGTTGTAACAGAATTGTGCAGTAACAGGGTTGTGTATATATAGTAACAGGATTGTGTATTAACAGGGCTGTGTAGTAAGTGTAGTAACAGGGTTGTGTATTAACAGGGCTGTGTAGTAAGTGTAGTAACAGGTTGTGTATTAACAGGGCTGTGTAGTAAGTGTAGTAACAGGATTGTGTAGTAACAGGGCTGTGTAGTAAGTGTAGTAACAGGGTTGTGTATTAACAGGGCTGTGTAGTAAGTGTAGTAACAGGGTTGTGTATTAACAGGGCTGTGTAGTAAGTGTAGTAACAGGGTTGTGTATTAACAAGGCTGTGTAGTAAGTGTAGTAACAGGGTTGTGTATTAACAAGGCTGTGTAGTAAGTGTAGTAACAGGGTTGTGTATTAACAAGGCTGTGTAGTAAGTGTAGTAACAGGTTGTGTATTAACAGGGCTGTGTAGTAAGTGTAGTAACAGGGTTGTGTATTAACAGGGCTGTGTAGTAAGTGTAGTAACAGGATGGGAACTGTTTTCCAGGACCCACGTGTGTGACTCAGAAAGCGTCAGAACTCAGCATGTCTCAGCTCGGCCTGTTTGGGGTAAACAGTGGCAACGGCACCACAGCGCACATCTACAGTGTTAACCAGGTACATGCTTCATACCAGCCACAAATTTAAACCAGTCATAATGCTCCAAATCTGGCCATGATGCTTCACACTGAATTGACAAGTTGACTGAGTGGCTGTTCCAGTAGCCCAAACTTTAAGCGCAGTGTCGACTGCTTGACCCTACACTGAGCAAACAAAGAAGGACCAGTTACTAGTACCTTCTAGTTGTTATATAATGCTCCTTCATGATCAGTGATCTGTGATACTCTGTACAACGATTTTTACCTGTGTGCTTTTGTTGGCAGGTGTTCCACTTTGGGCCGCAGGTGAGCCTGTTTTACGAGGGCACAGCCGAAGTGCGCGGCATCCCGGTCCAGTGGTGGTCCACCTGCCAGTACATGGCTGACCTGGACGTCACCTTCTTCGGACAGTACTACTTCACTCTGCCTGGCTACCAGGTGAGCTTGTTTATTTCTGTGTGTGCCTGTGTGTGTGTGTGTATGATGTGGTACTATTTCACCATTCCTAGCTATGGTCATGTTTGTTTGCCAATACCTGCCCAACCTCGATGTCACGTTCTTCGGACAGTACTATTTCACCCTGCCTGGCTACCAGGTGAGCTTTGTCTATTTGTTTGTGTGTGTGTGTGCGCGCGCCTATGTGTGTGTGTGTGCGCCTATGTGTGTGTGTGCGCGCCTATGTGTGTGTATGATGTGGTACTATATGTACTTCACCATTCCTGACTATGGTCATGCTTGTTTGTTTGTGTGCTGATGTGAGCCACCCTCCCCTCCCCCCAGAGCGCAGCCTACAGCCTTGATGACGCCCGAAACCCGATCCCCGTGCGAATCAACGTGACGGGGAAGACGGGCGGCTTCCCGGCGCGGCACATCAGCCACGTGTACGAGTTCTCACAGTTCCGAGCCAACATCGACGCCGGAGTAGCAGCTTTCGAGGTGAGACACTCGGGACACATCCCGACACTTTTCAAACTCACGGCCATGGTGAAAGCCTGCATGTGACCTTGATTTGACCTTGTTCAGGGGACCTCTCAGTACACTTAACCATGATTTGACCTTGATTTGCCCAGACGCCGCCCCACGTGTATGACCTTGTTTGCCCTTGCCCAGACGCCGCCCCACGTGTATGACCTTGTTTGCCCTTGCCCAGACGCCGCCCCATGTGTATGACCTTGTTTGCCCTTACCCAGACGCCACCCCACATGTATGACCTTGTTTGCCCTTGCCCAGACGCCGCCCCACGTGTACTGTCCCGGGCGTGAGGAGACCGTCCCGCTGCCGCCCGTCCCGCAGGTCTTCTCCTTCCAGTCGGAGGTCGCGGTGGGCAGCAGCCGGCTCATCGGAAACTTCAAGGTGAGGAAACAAGGGTTTTAATCAACACAAACTGTCAGAATAAACAAACATCGCTGACAGCTGTCGAAACCATGATTTGACCAGTGGCAGCTGTTTCAAGCATTTAAAAACACTCGTAAGCTGCCATATCTTGGCACCTACACTTCCTGAATGGCTCTTATTTTGACTGAAAACGTTTTCAGCACCAAAGACAGATCCGTGGAGGTCAGAACTGCTGCAGAACCTTGCAGCCCAACAAATATATAAAATATATGGAAATTCAATACTACACAGTGTATTTTGTATCGCCCTCGGTCCCAGCCCTCCCGCTGGTAGGAATGGATAACAGCCGAATATATAAAATGACAGATATATGGTGTGTTCCCATATTAGGAATGGTTTGACACAGGAAACCAGCTGGTCCGATACGACACCAAACCTCCGTCCAGCCCAGATGCCCCAACCAGCAACCCCGTATCTACAGTGGACGACTTCAACACAGGTGGGAGCAATTGTTATTGATAATCAGCACAGGTGAGATGCATTGATAATTGTTGATAATCATCTGTTGTTGCCAGGCCTGTGGTGGGAGTGGTAGCTTATAATTATTGATAATTATAGATAATTATCCATTGTTGCCAGGCCTGTCGTACATGAGTGATAATCATGGATAATTATCTGTTGTTGCCAGGCCTGTGGTGGGAGTGATAACTGATAATTATTGATAATTATGTATAATTATCTGTTGTTGCCAGGCCTGTTGTACGTGATTGATAATTATTGATAATTATATAGATAATTATCCATTGTTGCCAGGCCTGTCGTACAAGATTGACAAGCGGACGGGAGAATGCACGGTTTCCGCCGTCAGGAATAACAGCGCCGCGGCAGACGACCTTCCCGTCGACCCCTTCCACGTGCGGATGATGACAGCCGAGGAG